ACCTCGAAGTTCGTCCTCGAATTTGCTTACGTTTTTACCGAAGATAACTGCTCGTACAACGAGATTGATGATATAGCTAATACAACGCAAGCGTTGTTTGTTAACGTCTATAGGAAACTATAGCGTAAGAGCCTCTAGACATGTATCGTTGGTGCTAGCGTTGTTAAGGACGAAGTAGCCTAACTTCGAACTTAGCTCGTAGCAATTAATAACCTTTTTAATATAGGTCGCGATATTCTCGCTAGAATGCGGACTAATCACGCGTGGTAGACTAATAAGGACGTCACGTTTTAAGCCCTTGCTGTTAACGAAGTGGCTTACAATGCTAACATAGTTAAACCTATTAGAAGCAGTCTATAAATTAAAGCTTAAGTGCACTAAACTTTTTGCGTTTTTGATTAGGTCGAAGACGATATTCCTGCGCCTCTAGAACGCATTATGAATCTAAGTTGATACAGACGCGTGAGACTCGGGCAGTAACTAACTAGCGAGCTCGCCGCCGTTCCGTATTAGCCACTAAAGACGCTTGCTAGATGCCTAACGAAGAGTAACGTCTTCTAGAATAATCTAGTCGACGAACTAGGCTTTCTACATAGACTCATTAAAACGCGAAGGAAGCCCTAATCTAGTACTTAGACTAACGCGATAGAGGCGCCCTGCATATTACTAACGACGCCGCAAGTAAAAAGGGATTAGCAGGCAGATTTGGAAGCTTACCGGATAGAGAGATGCGGTGCTTACGGATCAAGTGCTTCGCTGCGTAAGAAGTGCTAGCTGCCGAATACAGAGCCGTTAAGTAACTCTTCTTTAGGTGGCAAAGCTTACAGAGCTAATACCGCGCTCCTTCGTGTTCTAGGCTAGCGCCGTGTTAGAATATCTATAATTCTTTGGCCTTGGTGTTAACCACTCGCCTGTGGCGAGGCCTTAATTTTGCGCCTTTAAGCCGCATCGAGCCGTGCTAGATATTCGTCTAGTTAATATCAAACTCGCATTAAACCTCCTTGTTAATCAATACAGACTTAGAGGGTGTTAGGGACGTCTTGGAAGCGTTATCGACGCGAGCAACCTGTGAGCCAGATGGAAGAGAAGATATAGCAAGGCTAGTGTCTCTGCTAGAGGTTATATCGAAGCGACAATATTTAGCTAAATAAAGAAGTTTATAGAAATGGGGCATACGGAGATAGACAATGCAATATACAACTACAGCATGGACGAGCAAATTAAATTTGGAGGGTGTTTCTAGAAAGTTCGTTTGTTTACCTATACTAGGAAATGGCCCAAGAAGCCCCTCGTACTAGTAATAGCTATAGCAAATCCGCTATGTCAAACCGACCCAAACGCAGTCAAACCGACCGCTCTTATCGGTCGGTCGGTTTGATAACGAACTAGCCGTCGGTCGGTTTGATTACTAATCAAACCGATTGAATCGGTTGGTCAAACCGTCGGTTTGTTAACTACACTAGTTTTCGCTACCGAGTTGGACCTAGCATAAGGGCCGAGCATGAACCCTGATTACCCTAGCTAGCACTGCTGCTCCTTAAGTATAACTAATAAAACACTTGCCGAGAACCTATTGAATACATCGCGTTGTTGTTTCCGCCTTTACGTCTTTGCGCATGTGATTTTTTGTCTCTAACCTCCTTCCTTACGCAACGAACAATATCGTAGGCCGATGTTAGCTAATGTGAGCGCAAGAGTAGCAGATATCCCGATCTTGAACAACTTCTAATTCGCTGATATCGGCCTACTAGGTTGTCTATCGCGTAAGGACAAAGGGTAGGAAATTTCGTCAAGCTTAACGCTACGTAATCGTATAGCAACAGGAAAAATAACAACTATAACTTTAAAGAGCTAAGAGTTCCCACACAAAGGAGCAATCCTAACTGCTCAAACTTCAAAAAGCCAATAATTAGCGTGTAAAGCGAGATAAGCTTAGAAAGATAAGAAAGAATAAGCTATCTGCATAACTTAAAGCGATTAAGAATAAAATATGTTATTTGCGGAACTATACCACGGCTGTTCACAAGGGTCAAGCCTCAATCACTACCAACTGTAATTAATCTGTCTATCAATTTATTGTTGTACTAGGGCTGAGCCAAGCAGGCAATAGCATAATTCAGATAGAACTGCTTACGCTAACTCGATACTTGCGATAGCGTAGAAGGAACTACACCATGTGTCGCAGGCCAAGCGCTGTTATGAATATAAGCTTTGTTGCCAATTGTGCCGTGCGATGGTCTTAATACGAACAATTTAACACATCTACTCTTCTAACTTTCTACTGTATACATAATCCTCGTAGTCGCTAGGTTGTTGCAAGCGCCTCGCTACTGCCTACACACTGTAGCCTCGTTACATTGCTAAAAAGAAGTAGCAAATTAGCTAAGATAGTAGAAGCGCTAGAAAAAGAAGCTAGAGGACGGCAGCGCATAGAAGATCTGGAAAGGCCACAACTCGACAACTACTCTTACTAAGTTATTACCCTATCGAATTAATTAGAGGTTCTCCTAATACACAACGTAGAGACAGACAAGGCTAGTGCAGCGCTAGATGTTAACGTAGGCAGCTTTAGCGATCCGCTAGATATGCTAGGTATCGCACACGCGGTAGAGCACCTGCTGTTTATAGGGACTAAAAAGTACCTAGAGGAGAATGCCTACAGTCAGTATCTAACGCGCCACAGTAGATACTCAAATGCCTTTACATCCTCTACTTTAACCAACTACTACTTCGAGCTTTTATATCCTTCGTCCACGCCTGCGTGCAGTTAAACCGCATTGCTGGAAGTGTCACAAACAAACCTAGCAAGGTCTAAAGATAACTCGCCGCTATAGGAAGGGATAGATCGCTTTGGCTAGTTCTTCATTAGCCTACTATTCTTAGAAGACACAATTAATCGCGAGCTTAAGGCAGTAGACTTAGAGCACAAGAAGAATCTCTAAGATAACACTTAGCGGATAATTTAGCTTAACAAAGCATTAGCTAATCTAGGCTATCTGTACTACCGCTTCTTAACAGGAAACTACAAGACTCTACACGATAGCCCTGAAATGCGTAGTGTAAGAATCCGCGACGAGTTCATTAAGTTCTATTTAACGCACTACTTAGCGAACTGTATAAAGTTAGTTGTCCTAGGTCGAGAGAGCTTAGATACTCTAGAAGCATAGGTAGAGCAGATCTTTGCTAGAGTGCCGAACAAGAACCTAGGCCAGAATCGCTAGGATATGCCCGTTTATACCGAGAACAAACTACTAACGCAGACCTTCGCTAGACTAGTTTTAGAGTCTTAGTTACTAGAGCTTTAATTCGCGTACTGTAATAAAGATAAGTTTTACGAGTTACAGCCTTTAAGATATCTTAACTACTTGCTTAGTTATAAAGAGCCTAGCGGTATCCTTGCGCTTATTAGGGCAAAAGACTAGGCGAGCGAACTAGGAGCTAGAGGGTGCACTCTTTGTCCTAGCGCAGGACTGTTTACTGTCTATATTTTGTTAACTAAGGAGGGCCTTAATCGCTACAAGGAGATTACAAAGCTTATGTTCTAATACATAGGACTTATGCGCGATTAGCCGCCTTAAGAGTAGGTTGTTAAAGAGCAAATGCAGATTAGTTAAGTAAAGTTCTGATTTAAGGAAAAGAGCCCACCTAGCTAAACTACAAGTAATCTAGCAGGCATTATGCAGGGGCCGTACGACCGCAGGATGTTGCTTAGCAGACTAGCTACTATTAAGAAGTTTAATGCTAAGCTAATTAGCGAAGCTATGTCTTATCTCTAACTAGACAACCTTAGGATAACGATTGTGAGTTAAGATTTCCTAGGTAGTTAGGACTAAAAAGAGAAGTAGTATAGTACAGAGTACAAAGTCGAGAAGATACTAGAAGACTTCCTTGCCGGGATAAGAGAAGCATTCGCGGGCAAGAACTAGCTAGCAGAGTTACATTTCCTACATAGAAACAAGTTTATCCTAACCTAACTAGAAGTAGAAAAGAGAGACGTTAGACAGCTAACTAAGGCGCCTAAGCTTATCTGCTATAACGACAACGTGCGCGTCTAGTAGAAGAAGGACGATTAGTTCTAGGTACCTAAGGCTCATGTGCACATCTACTTCCGAACGCCTATCGCTAGCGTTACACCTCGTACCACACTGTTATGCACGCTCTACTACGAGCTTGTGAATAATGCTCTAGCTGGATGTTTATACGACGCTAGCTACTCTAGACTAATGTACAACTTTACTAATTACATTAGCGGCCTTTTAATTAATGTTAGTAGCTATAATAGCAAATTAGATGTGTTGCTAGGGAAGATTTTGCTCTAGGTACGGGATCTCGAGGTATCGGAAGACTGTTTCTAGATTATCCGCGACCAGATGTTGCGTTACTTACGCAATTTGGAGTACGAGCAGCCCTCTAACATGATTGGCTCCTACTCTAAATAGTTTAAGAGCAAGAAGAGTGTAATAAACGAAGACCTAGTCCTAGAGCTTAAGAACGTGACCGCGCGTGATGTCCAGCAATTCTTCCCGCAGATCCTAGCGCAATGTTATGTTAAAGTCTTGGTACTTAGCAATCTGTACAAAGAGGAAGCTTTGGAGATTACTAATCTTGTAGAGCGTATTGTCAAGCTAAGGGGACTGCCAGCGAACCAGGTACCGACACCTTAGGGACTTATATAGCTATCTGGAAGCAACTTTATCTACAAGAAGCAACTTAGGGACCCTAGAAACGTTAACTACTGCATTAAGTACAGCCTGTATGCTAGGCACCGCTATGACAGCATTATGCGCGCTAAGCTGCTGCTTCTTAGACAGATAACGGACGAGCCTTGCTTTTATTAGCTTTGTACTATCGAGCAGCTCAGCTACGTCGTGTTCTCTAGCCCTAGCTTTTACGACATTTAGTTAGGTTACCGCATCCTCATCTAAAGTGAGAAAGAATGCTAGTATCTTAAGGGTCGCATCAAGAACTTCCTTAATACGTTCGAGTAGACGTTAAACGACATGAGCGAGGAGGACTTTAAGAGCTACAAGCGCGCTATAATTAATAAGAGGCTGGCGAAACTAGAGAGCTTGTCGTCTGAAGCTAACAGGTTCTGGAATTATATTTATAGTGATTCGTATGATTTCCTGCAAGGTAGGCTAATTCCGACTCTCCTACATTAGTATAGGATTAATAAATGTACAGCTAACGTTAACGCCGCGACTCTTAAGAAGCTTACAAAGAAGGATGTGGTCGACTTCTACAGTTATTACATCTCGACATTGTCCTCTTAGCGCTCTAAGCTGTTAGTGCATCTCCTAGCACAGGCTAAGGCAAATAAGTCTTCCCTTAGTAAGAAGAAGGCTGCCGCTACTGCTGCGTTCAAGATTATCCTCGCTGAACACAAGATCGCAGCCAACGACGAGGCTTTTCAGACCTGCACTAAAGACGCGTCGTCTAACGAAGCTGCCTTAGATGCTGTTGCTAGCTATCTTACTAACAACCTTAGGATAGAGAAGGGAGTTGCTAACAAGGTCCTTAATGAAGCCAAGGCTAAGCTAGGTGTCGCAGACTCTGGTCTTCGAGCTGCTCCGCAGGCTCTCGATGTATCGCAACTAGTTCTTATCAAGAATGTACACGCCTAGAAGGCGAGTATGCAAGTCAGCTCTGCTGTGCGACCAGTACGCAACCTAGAAGGGTTTCTCGAAGTTACCCCAAAGCTATAAGAAAAGTTGTTGCGTTGAAGATTCTTCTAAGATATAACGTATCGTATCCGTGCCTACAATGCGCAGTAGTGTCTGTGAAGAACGCTGTTGCAGAGGCACGTGCGATATGTTATCGTGATGACTTTCATACTAAAAGGTTGTTAATGAACACAGTGTGTAGCGCTTAACTTTAGCCGCCCGTTGAACGAGGTGCGCCTCTAACGAGGACTAACTACTTAAATAACGCGTAGTGCACTGGCGCGATAAGGAGCTCGCGAGCTACATAGAAGAACTAACAGAGCGACACCTTATGCCTACAGGACGAACAGACAAGAACTTTGCTGCCCTAGTTATTAGAAAGGAGCTACGTGAGAGCCGGCTTACCAGCTTTATCGGCCGCAAGGACACACGCTTATTACAGCCTGCTAGTAGCCCTAGAGCTTTTGCAAATCAAAGGAAGCCCCCTTGTCTACATCTGTTACTAGGTCTATACTAAGACGTGCATCTTGCTATAATTCTATACGAAGATAGCATGTCGCGAACTACAGTACCTGCGCAGCTTGCTCTTACAGTTTGTAGCCAACTGTTAAATAGCTATAGATCTTCTGTCTCTATGCTAGCAAAATCCTGCGCATGTATTTGGATTTAACTTAGTCTTAAGAATAGGAAAGCTAGAATAGGTAGCGGGAGGCACACGGCTTCTAAAATCTCACTAGACTCCAAAGCGTACAAACAAAAGCCTGCATTAGCTTCTAAAGTAAGACTTCGAAGCGGGAGGAGCGAGATATGATGTACGAGTAGCAGATGTGTGCATCGTAGTAGTACCCTATTTGCCTAGTACTAGCTTCTACATTTAGTTAAAGGTTTGTTAAGTAGAAAGCTAATGTCAACTGCTAGCTAAGCGCAGGCAGAATCTATGAACTTATAGAAGATAGGAAATATATCTGCAGGTTTCAAACGCAAGGAGCAGTAGATAAGAAGAGTACATAAGGCACTTAGGTTAGCGTCTAGGACTGATGAACCTAATAGGCGATAAGGATAGGTAATGTAGGTTTATTACCGACTTATGTGTCTGTTGTGTGTTATGTGGTGTAACTATAACTTAAACGCCGCTTCTTCGCTAGCCTAGCCCTAGCGCAATGTCTTCTGCGCGGCCTCCTTGCTATAGCTATGCTTAACAGAGCCTTATTACTCTACCCCTTCTTTTACTTAAGCGCACTCCCCTTATTATTAGTTCTTGTATAGAGTATAGTGCAACTATGTAAGGGGCTACGCAAAGGTTGCTAATGCCTAGTAACAGGATTGTATTCGATAAAGAGGAAAACCTATCTACGGTGCTGCGATATTTATACACGTCAAGCTTGTCGTTCGCGTAGTATCTCGAAGCTTCTAGAGTACCGAGGACACTCCGAAGGTTCTACTAAGGATCGTTATAGCATCTAGGCTCTAGCTCGTTACAGACTACCTTTGTTTCTAGCTTTAACCTTAGCCTTCGTGTTCTTAGCCTTTGTATTACGCAGCACCTCTACTACTTTGTTGTAGCCTTTAGTAGATGCTATTTGTAGTAGCGTCTGGCTATCCTTGTCTCTAGCATTAGAGTCTGCCCCTAACCTAAGTAGCTCTTTTACTACTCCTAGGGAGCCCTTAGTTAATGCTGCGTAGAGTAGAGTGCAACTATCGCTGTATAGAATGTTAAGGTCAGCCTCGTGGCTAAGCAGCAATGCCTTTATCTTAGGACAAGGATAAGCAAAAGCTATATAGAGTGCCGTAGAGCCTTCTTCGTTTCTAGCATTCGGGTCTGCCCCCTTCTCAAACAGTAAGTGTATTATACGCGTATCGCGACGCCTTATAGCTTTAAGTAGTGCCCTAATACAATCTTCGCCTTTAGTATTAAAGTCCGCCCCTTTTGTAAAGAGCTACTTCGCTAAATGCGAGTAACTATAATCAAGTGCTACAATAAGTAGGGTGCGCCCTCTTTCGTCTTTAGCATTAATGTCTGCCCCTTTACAAAATAGCATTTTTACTACGTCTCTACTATCTTTAATAGAAGCTGCGTGTAGTAGGGTACAACTATTGCTATAGCCGTTTACAAAATTAACGTCTGCCCCTTCGCTAAGCAATTCGTTTAATACACTTGTAGAGCCTTTAGTGCATACTATGTAGAGTAGAATATTAGTTAGTTCTTTAAGCGCTACGTTTAACTTTTTAACATCTCTATCCTTCGCTGTTATAAGTAGGTCTATAACGGGACATAATAGCCACTGCACGTAATTTCTAGCGTTTCTGCCTATTTTTTGCTTTAATCGTACCGATAACCTAACTATAATCACGTTCTAGAAGGCTGTACTGCGAGGGTTGTTAAGTATGGCTAAGGGCAGAAATCACGAGGAGATAATACTTCGACAGCAAATAGTTTGTTAGAGATGTTATTAAAGACGGCTGCGAATAGGATATATAGTAAACAGAGGTTCTGCAGAAGCTATTTACGTGTAGGTCAGCGGTTATTTGCTTACAGTAACTAACTGTAAGCAGATAACTGCTAACTGTATAAGCGTCTTTAAGCTTAATGGAGCTGTTAGATTAAATGCTAAAAATGAGCTTAGGAGAAGTTGATGATTGCGATGATGGATTATGTCTTAATTATTGTTGTTTTTCGTTAGTCTGTTCTCTCTCCTTTTTGAACATAAACCTAATACGTTAGTAATACCTAGGTAATACATAGGTAATACCGTCTACGATGCAGTATCGCTTACTTTATCTAACATACCCCCTTAGCTTAGAAACTATTCTAAGCTAGACAGGAGCTGCTTCTGTTGTCTTCTAACGAACCTAGAGGTCGTGTGCAAGAAGCTTCGATCACAGTCTAGCTACGCCTATTTAACCTCTAGCTTCTTAATTTAGCTTTAGATCTCTTTAAGGCGTGTTGCTGTTATTTCTCCGCTTTTTATGCGCTCTGCAAGACCTATTTAGCCTAGGAACTGTGCCTATTTATTAGCTAGCAGCGCCTTTGTAAAACTATTAGCTAGCATGTCGTCTAATTAGACATATATAACCTGAATACTTCTTCTTAACACCTCCTGTCTTAGCTAATAATTGTAAATGTCTACATGCTAGAGCTTAGTTTGCAACCGTGAGACCTCTTTGTTAATTAGCTAGATAGTTTAAGTGTTATCGCATTGTATTGTGATTGTTTCCTTAGGCAGATTAATTTGCAGTTCCTTAACTAGTCGTGATATAAATATAGCTTCTTTTACAACTTGTAATAGCGCAAGAAGCTTAGCTTCTGTCGTAGAGGTTGTAACTATATCTTGCTTACTTGCTTTCTAAGCAATTAAGCTACTAAATAACTTAATTGTATATCCCTGCGAGCTCTTTCTGTCTAGTGTGTTATTAGCAAAAGAGGCGTCGCTCGCGACTTTAAGTCGACTATCCCCGCCGAGCTTAAGCGCTCGATTTCTAGTGCTCTGCAGGTAGAGGAGAACTCGATCGGCTGCATTATAATGCTCCTGTCCTAGATTCATTAGAAAGCGTGCTAGTCGTAATGTCGCGAATGCAATATCTAGACAAGTCGTTACAGCTGCAAACATTAGGGATCTAATCTTTCGCTAGTACTTATTAATTTCTAATAGAGTAGCTAGGCCTTCCTAAGGCTTAAGTTCAATAGCCGCTATTAGAGTGTCGTGTCTAATGTCCTTTCTGTCGACTAAGCGACTAATCTTATCTGCGTACGCGGCTTGTAAGAGCTAAATCTTACGCTGCTCTTAGTTTCTAATAACTTTAACTCTAAGAAACTATTAAAGATTATCTCTGCTAGTTATTAAGTACTTGTCTCTAAGACGTTAAACAGCTTATTGAACCTCCGTCTCTATTTGCTTGCTATAGGCGAGAATAATGTCGTTGACGTAGAAGAATATAATAATTCTATCCTTAATTAGACAGCATAGCTTGTAGGGAACGACTTAAAAGTTTAGGGTCTTAAGAGTCGATGTAAATTCCTTCTGCTAGAGGACTAGTAATATTCGGAGCCTATACAAGGCCTTGTTAACTTGCAGCACTGTCCTAGGCTTCCGATAGCTATGTAGCATTCTTATGTAGATCTCTCGGTCTATTGCTGTATAAACGAAAGCGTTCGTAACGTCGTACTGTCTGAGCTCAAGATCGAAATAAGCAGCGATCGCTATTAGCATTCAAAACGACTAGCTCGCAAGAGTAGCTGCATAGGTTTCCTAAGAAGTAATATTTCTCTGTTAGTCTCCTCAGACGACTAATTGCGCCTTACAGCTCTTAAAGCGATAGTCCTTGTCGAGCTTGTAGGTGTACACCTACATGCAGTCTAAGATCTGTTAACCCTTTACTTTTACTTTCTTTACAGGCACTTTAGACTATAATTTTATCTGCTTATAACTCTTAAGATGCACTCTCTAGGCTTCCTTCTAGTAGTCCCTAAGCGGATGTCCTTCTACCTGCCTCTAGGTTAACAGTAGCAGTAGAAGTTAGTTAAGATAAGGCCTTAGTCCTTGTGCCAGCATTCGTTTCATTTGAGCTTTATCTACTAGCCTGCCTTCGTGCGTTCTGATGTACCTAGCCTATGTCCTAGCTATAAATGCGGCCTTCTATAGGATAGTCTTTGATAAGGCATCTAAGTCCTTAGTGTCTTCCTTATAAACGCCTACTAGCAGATGCGCAAGCAGAGCTACTAGCGGTAGAGTTACTAGTGGCGTAGGATAGGTGTGCCCTATCTTCCTTCCTTAGTAGTCTCCTAGGCTATTATGTTCTTAGGTTAGCTTAGTATCCTGTGTTGTATCGTCTTTAAAGAAAGCTTTAGTCTCCAGTTGATCGTAGGTAGGCTCTAGAAGCTTAGCGGATCTTACCTATACAGCTATCTTATTTAAGGTGCTGTGTATAAGGTTGTCTATAATGTCTTCCTTCTTCCCGTTAAA